GGCACGAAACAAGAAAGCGGATCACTCACACAGCGACAAGCCACACAAACAGACAAATAGGTTTATGTGTGTGTGTGCGCAACAGTATGTGCATCATTTTGTAATAAAATAAGCCAGTCCACCATGGAAGAAAATAAAGGCCCTGTAAACAAAACTTACAGTACTGTATAGGACTGCATGCTATTGGAAAAAACTGACATATTATTTTTCTGCGATACATACTGCGATATTGTAAATAATGTTACCGAATAAAATTAATAGCTCTATTTAGAAAGAATTTACACAATTTTACATTTGATTATTATGATTTAGTACAGTGCATCTGCATTAAATATAATAAACCAATCAAAAGTATTTTACAGCAGAGCAAAGATATATTGTAGGTGGAATAAAACAACTCTTTTTTTTTTTTTTTTTTCCTGGGAGTCTATAGCAGTATTAAAGGTACACAAATTGAGTAATTATATTTAAAATAATAGTGTAGTTTTCATTGCGTGTAATTATACTTGCATACAATCAATCTTTGTTAAAAACATTATAATCTCTTGTGCATGAATGTTTTAAACGCTTACACAACCACAGGCTTTAATAACACAAACACAATCAGCTGTGGTTCCTGGTCAACATTGCGATTTCGATGTTGAAACAATACATTGTGCAGCCCTAGTACAGTAGGTCAAAACTATTCACAGACGTATGACTATCTAGTAAACTCATTAAGAATTTCAAGTTTTTTTTCCCCGAACTCCTTTGAAGGAGGCCTTTGAAATACATTACACTTTTTTATCATCTTTCCTTTTATTTCTGATAATAAAATAATTGTATTATATTATTTTATCATCACTTTTACTGTACAGTGGTCCCTCGTTAATTGAGGGGTTACGTTCTAAAAATAGCCTGCTACCGTGCCTTTGACAGTGCAGTTGTCAACAATATGGGGTTTGTTGGCGAGAAAACTTGTGAACATACAGTACAGCACTTCAGTCACATTGCTAGCCTTTGAAGGTTTATGTAACTTTGGAAAGCTAAACGTGTTCTGTACTGTACAGGAAACACAGCATGGAGAAGATTGATTGACAATGGTCTACAGCCAATCAGGACGCAGAACACAATACGCTTAAAAAAACCAAAAAAACCCAGCATGTTTAATTGCAAACTGCAAATCTGCGAATCTGCAAAACTGCGGAAGGAGAATCACATTATAGCAAGGGACTACTGTACAACAAAAACATTCTTCAAGTAGATTCCACAGGTTGTTGTGAAGACACTGGGAGTTTCTGTAGTTTTCTCACATAAAACAGAAAATGCTTGTGAGTGAATCTCTCGGCAGGTCTGAAGATGAGGCTGATGTTTTCATTCACTCAAAGTGATACGGCAGATGCTAAAAAAAAACAACAACACAGGCATCACATGCTTGAGTATGAGATATAACTGCACAATTACTGCACACAAAACATGCAGACTTCATTATTTCAAAATGTTTTTTACTAGATTAATATTTACAGATGGAGCGGCGCTGTGGAGCAGTGGGTACGACGATCGCCTCACAGCAGGAAGGTCGCTGGTTCGAGCCACGGCTGGGTCAGTTGGCATTTCTATGTAGAGTTTGCATGCGCTCCCCATGTTCGCATAGGTTTCCTCCAGGTGCTCCGGTTTCCTCCACAGTCCAAAGACATGCGGTACAGGTGAATTGGGTAAGCTAAATTGTCTGTAGTGTATGAGTATGAATGAGAGTGGGTGTTTCCCAGTGATTTGTTGCAGCTGGAAGGCCATCCGCTGTGTAAAACATATGCTGGATAAACTGGTGGTTCATTTCGCTGTGGCGACCCCAGGTTAATAAAGGGACTAAGCCGAAAAGAAAATGAATGAATATTTACAGACACTACAGTCCACATTGCAATAACATTTCTGATTTATGCATTCAATATATCCTAAATTCCATAACATTCTGCATTAAACTGCTAATTCTGTTTTTATTCCAGGATTTCACAAATCCATCCTGTGTTGTACAAATCATAGGGTTACTACATAAATCATTGTACGACAAAGATCTAATGGAAACGGCATCAACAGGGTTTTCCAGTTTTTCCATTGCTTTATTTTTGTTGGCTAAATTTTCACCCATACATTTAAACATGCCTAAACATAGCTGTTTAAGAAAATCCGCCATCGTATGCATCCTAACTATATGTTGTTTTGTTATTATGAGACAGTTACACGCACAGAACTGCTTTTAATTACAAACTCTGAAATCCCAGAGTACCATGTTGAGAGCTCTAATTACATGGCATTTCAAATTTACATGCACCACACTGAAACTCAAGCAAGCAATTGCACATCAATAACAGCTGGAGATAACCTGCTTACATAATACAAATACACCAGATTGTCTCATAACAATAACAGTAAAAACAATATGTGAATGTTCCATTCAGTAGGACTACAATCTAAAAATGGTACTTCGTTTCAGTTTAATAGGAAAAGCTCTAGACCTGCTGATACATGCAAGGCTGTGCCCTTCATCAGAGCAAATAGTCACCAAACTCGTAGTGTGGCTCGACAAACCATTAAATCAGAAACATCTTTAATCTTTATTGTTTTAGATCTTTATAACTTAATTCCCTAAAAGGTTCAACGCTTATTACTTTAAGCCAGTCTACAACTTTACTACTGTTGCAAGAATGTGACGCTTCAATGTAGTCTAATATTTATATTTTATTATAAAATGTACAAAAACACAAAGTTTTAAGATATTACATTCAGAGCTGCACAATATATCATTTCAGCATCAATAGCGCAATGTGTGTCCCCAATAGTCACATCGCAGGATCTGCAATGTTAATTTGCATATTATAGTTGATCAACCATTGAAAATGCATGAGATTTGAGGAGTCATTTCAATTAATAAGCATAATGGATTGTGACTATCATTAACATTTGTAACTTTACTGAAGATAAATTTTACTGATTTATAAATATAATAAAGACTATACAGTAATATTTGACATTATATTATTAAATGTCTGTATCTGAATACTGTTTGACACTCCGGAAAACCATAAATAACTGTTTATTTAAATTTTTTCTTTACTCTATTGTAATTATTCTTGCAATTTAATACATGATTCACAGGCATCCAAAATCAACCAATCAATAATTCATTTATTTTATTTTGTTTACACAAATAGAGCTATTCAAGCCATCTCGTGAAACTGTATTCATATCGCAGCAAAACAAAATATCGAAATGACAGATTTGTTCAATATCATGCTGCCCTAATTACATTACACTATTTTATATTATATTACACTCTGGCTTTCAAGGCTACAGTGTGAATGTGAAAAAAATCCAAATAAAAGCAAAGTTTTAACTGTCAAATATCACATTTCACAGCAATAATGAAAAACAAATTCTCATATTTAAGTCTGCATCTATAAAAATATGTAAAAAGTAAAGAAAATGAGAAAATGGCGCTATGGTGGTGCAGTAGGTAGCACAACAGCCACACAGCAAGAAGATTGCTGGTTTGACCCCCGGCTCGATCAGTTGGCATACCTGTGTGGAGTTTGCATGTTCTCCCTGTATGTGTGAAAGTGTGTATAGGTGTTTCCCAGTGTTGGGTTGCAGCTAAAAGGGCATGGGCATCCGCTGTGTGAAACACATGCTGGATAAGTTCATTTCTCTGTGGCGACCCCAGAATAATGAAGGTACTAAGCCGAAAAGAAAATAAATGAAAAAAATAGGTACTCTCTTCATCAATCTAGCACAATTTTCAGTAAACTGTGAGAACCCCTTCGCAAACATGTCCAAACTTTTCAGCTTAACCCTGCCCCTTCTGATTGAGTCCCCACCCCCAACTCCCAGCTTGGTACTGGATACTAGTTGTGGTCAGCAAATTGTAGACCTGTATTTTCTGTATGTAAGATTGAACTAGTGTTTTTTTTTTTATTATTCATTTATTTATTTTGTTAAAAATATTCTTCAGTGTATTTGCTTATTGTTAAATGTTTATGTTGTCATTTTTGTATATTTTTGTAATGCGTTTTACAACATAAATACAACATTAAAAAAGTAAATAAAATACACAAATTATTAAATAGCAATTACATTGAATATTATAAACACACATACACATACATAATACTAATAATGCATTGCATTTAAGGCATTTATTATGTTATACTCACATCAAACAACTATTTATAATACTAAGGTAAAGTTTGCTTTATATTCCAAATATTTACATATTCAGACTTTGTCCTTAATAATATAATTTCAGAAAAATATTAGCAAATTCTGAATAGTGAAATCATATTAGCAGCCAATGACTGAAGTACAACATTGTTCAGTCAATTAAACAGTGCTGATGTTGTTGTGTGGTGATACTTAAATGCGATTTCAGAGCAAATATTCAAAGTAGCGTGGTAAACAATACAATGACCATTAAAATAAACAGATATGTGAATATGAAACCCACTTTACCTCAATATTATAATGGCTAGAACTCTCAGCACACGTAAAGTACAGGTATAGTGGTCAATACCAGTAACAACTACAAACGAACAAGACTGCAAGCACAAACCTGACATTTCTAGATAACACATGAAAGCCAGGTGACACGAAATTGGTTTATCCACCAAAACACAATCATTTGCAGAAACATCAACGCTGACAGCAGTAGAGGAAGCTATGCAAAAACAATAGTAGTGGATGGCATCTAACGTTACCTGCACGAACGCTCAAAGTACACTTCTCTCATCTCTCACACTCGCCACTCCCATTCCTCATTGCTCCAGCCTCAGACAACATGCAGTTTGTAAAGAGTTACGACTGAATCTAACTATCATGTGTTCAACAGCACAGCACTGCAGCACAACAGTCTGAATTTCACGCAATGACAACACTCGTCTGGCAGACAAACACACACACACAACGCAAAAGGCGCAGCTCGAGTCACAGATGGACATTCACCCGTGTGTCATTATCAAAGTGAGACTTACTTGCCAATGACCTCACACAGCTCGTAAACATCTTCAAAGAGCACGTCGTCGTCGGCCATGGTCCAACAAGAGCGGGGAATTTACACTCCCCCTCCAAAATCCGTCCAAATGGTAAATATCAGAGGATTACCGAGCAGACACTTCAGAGTACCTGGAATGAGCGCCGCGAAAGAAACGCTGACAGCCGATTGTATCGCTCTCCAAATTCCGATGAACGGCGAATGGTTGATTCCTGTCGGTTTTGGGTGGGAAAAATTATCCTTTGGTGGTTTGGTGGAAGCGAGCGGACAGTAGTGAGCGCTCGGTCCGTTTGACTCACCCTGCCCCACCTTCTCCTCCCTCTCTCTCGGCCCCCTTAATCCCGCCACTCGAGGCTGAGGTAATTCAAACGTTAAAAACAACTCCACGATAATCGCTGCCGAAGTCACGGAACCAAGTGGGTTAAGTCGTTTAGACGCTAAACTAACTAACTCGAGCCGGGGGAGAAGACGTGCACGCGGTTTGTTTGTGTGTTCAAACGCAAGCTGTTGTTAAAGTGCGCAGTTCAGTTGATTCCACTCATTCTAGCCACGCGCGGCTTCGGCTTTTCCCTGTGCGCGCTCACGCTGACTGTCCCTGCTCGCCGCCGTTGCTCTAGTTCCCCCTCATAACTCCAGCGCTGCTGCTCCCAGCTTCCAGAAAACCCAAACTCCTCCCACTCGCGCTTATGAAACTGGATTGCCTTACGCCATAATGGCTCCGACAGGACTTTCGTATTCCGGAATTCCCGCATAGACTGGCACGTGCGGTTGAGCCAAAATGACGACCAGGCGTCTCAGAGTTTGTTGGCTGAAGCGACAGTTTACCTAGATAAAAAGCGTATTGAACTGCGCTTGAAAATCTTTAGTTGACTTACTAGCTTGACTATATGTTTTTGTAGACATGTGTTTATGTAATAATAATAAAAAAATATTTGAAAAGTGGTTTGGGGAATAAAACATTATTGCACATAATTATTGGCAATACATACACATACTGTATAATAAAGCAGACAACATCATAGGTGAACATTCATTTCCACAATAATACGCCATAATATGATGTATTTAATATGAGTCTATACGAGATATCTTTAAGAGTAGCTATAATAAATATACACTAACAGGCCACTTTATTAGGTATACCTTACTAGTACCATGTTGGAGCCGCTTTTGCCTTCAGAATTGCCTTAATCCATTGTGGCATCGACTCAACAAGGTACTGGAAATATTCTTCAGAGATTTAGCTCAATATTGACATGATATCATCACGTAGTTGCTGCAGATTTGTTAGTTGCACATCTATGATGTGAATCTCCCGTTCCACCACATCCCCAAGGTGCTCTATTGGATTGAGTTCTGGTGACTGTGGAAATCACTTGAGAACAGTGAACTCATTGTCATGTTCAAAAAACCAGTTTGAGTGATTTACGCTTTATGACATGCCGTGCTATCCTGCTAGTAATAGCCATCAGAAGATGGGTACACTGTGGTCATGAAGGGATGGACATGGTCAGCAACAATAATCGGGTAGGCTGTGGCGTTGACACAATGCTCAATTGGTACTAATGGGCACAAAGTGTGCCAAGAAAATATCCCCCACACCATTACACCACAACCACCAGCCTGAACCGTTGCAGCAGAAATCGAGACTCATCAGACCAGGCAACGCTTTTCCAATCTTCTATTGTCCAATTTCAGTGAGCCTGTGTGAATTGTAGCCTCAGTTTCCTGTTCTTAGTTGATAGGAGTGGTACTCAGTGTGGTTTTCTGCTGCTGTAACCCATCCGCCTCAACGTTATATGTGTTGTGCTTTCAGAGGTAGTTTTCTGCATACTTCGGTTGTATCGAATTCGGTCATTCTCCTCAGACCAGCCCGTCTCGCACCAACAAATATGTCACGTTCAAAGTCACATAAATCGCCTTTCTTCCCAATTCTGATGCTCGGTTTAAACTGCAGCAGATCGTCTTGACCATGTCTACACGCCTAAATACATTGAGTTGCTGCCATGTGATTGGCTGATTAGAAATTTGCATTAACAAGCAGTTAAACAGGTGTACCTAATAAAGTGGCCAGTGAGTGTATGTTGCCACATGAAAATGAACCATACCTGCAAATTAAATAGACATTTTAAACAACATGGTAACCAAAATGATTTTACTATACACTAAACCTAGTTTAAACTCTCATATAAATGTTCAAAAACTGCAACTGAGTTACTTTTCAAAATGTATGCACTAATTTACAAACACTGTTTAGATCCTTTCGGTAGAAACATGTACCTTTTGAAAAGGAACCGTCCATAGACAGCTTTTTTTAACCTTTATTCTGGGGAGTGCATAGTATTTTGTAGAAATGAATCATAGATGTTAAAATATTTCCACAGAGATGAAAAATAAAGTGATTTAATAGATATATATGTCTCTCCATAGATCCATATTAAACACAGTAAATAAGAGTTTTAGTATTGCGGGTCATCGTTGAATGTCGAATAAATGTTTAAAGCCCCTGCATGTTTTTACATCTTACCACACATTCAAGCATGCAGTAATCGATGGATCTAAATTAAAAATCGTACTGCAACTACACAATCTCAATATAATCTTGTATTTGGATTCCTTGGCCTTATCTTTTCTTTGTTGTTAAGATCAGCTGCAGTCAGAAAACTCTTGCTCTTTCATTAATTGAAACTGGTTCACTCTTGACAAACGCAGTCTTGCTGAAAGATGCATGCTGCTGCTTTTAACAAAATACTTTATTCATGCATTATTCATATTACAAGAAATCCATCTAAGATTAAACAAAATGACTTGATTGTGCTATTAGTCTTTAACTCTAGATAGTCCACTAATTCATTTTTCTTAATGGAAGCAACAGCAAATTATATTTTCTTAGTGTCAAATTGGCATTTTAACTGATCACATTATGTAAATTTGAATGAAATTCATCCTGATTATAACTTGCTAGACTATTAAACAAAATAAATCAAAATAATTAAGATATTTTTTGTCTATTTCATGTCCAGAGTCTACACACTGGCCTTTTTTCTTAAAATGGACTCAACAATTATGGTAAACAGCTAAACCTCTATGGCAGGAGTCACCAATCCTGGTCCTGGAGGGCCGGTGTACCTGCAGGGTTTAGTTCCAACTTTCCTCAACACACCTGCCTGGATGTTTTAAGTATACCAAGTAAGAGCTTGATTAGCTTGTTCAGGTGTGTTTGATTAGGGTTGGAGGTAAAATCTGCAGGACACAGGCCCTTCAGGAACAAGTTTGGTGACCACTGCTCTATGGTTTATATATAGTTAAAATCCGAATTATTAGCCCCCTTTTGAATTCTTTTTCTTTTTTTTAAATATTTCCTAAATGATGTTTAACAGAGCAATGATGTTTTATTTTAGCTAGAATAAAAGCTTTTAATTTTTGAAAAACAATTTAAGGTCAAAATTATTAGCCTGTTTAAGCTGTATTTTTGCAGAACAAACCATCGTTATACAATAACTTGCCTAATTACCCCAACCTGCCTAGTTAACCTAACTAACCTAGTTAAGCCTTTAAATGCCATTTTAAGTTGTATAGAAGTAGAAAAATATGAGAAAGAAAAATATCTAGTCAAATATTATTTATTGTCATCATGGCAAAGATCAAATAAATTAGTTATTAGAGATGAGTCATAAAAACTATTATGTTCAGAAATGTTTAGACATCTTCTCTCCGTTAAACAGAAATTGGGGGAAAAAATAAACAGGGGGCTAATAATTCAGGGGGTTAATAAATCTGACTTCAACTGTAAACTGCATGTTTTATTTTTTATATTATTACTTACATTTTTTATACTGCAAAATAAATGGATATACCATACCACCCTGAGGAAGCTGCTGCAAAAAAAAAATTTCCAATCCTCTCAAATGCATTACTTTGGGTTTTGTCGGCACTTTTTACATTAGTGCCTTTGAATTACTGCATTGATTTCTGTAGCTGATGATTGGTGGGATACACTTGAGTTAATTGGATTGTGCACATTCAGTCCATTCATTCAATCTAGAATTCATTCAGTCACTTCTCATTGTAAATTTATAGTCTGAGTCCTTAAAAAAACAGTTGAATCATAGCCTCATTGATGTTGGCATAAAGGCAGCTGACTCAGTTGTAGTGATTTTCAAAGATGAAACTACTAATTCACACACAGACATGAACACACACAATGACCAAGTGATTGCATGTTTTTGTTTAGTCCACATCCAAAAGGGTAAATTTGATCAGGTTATGCTACCATCATTCATTTAGGCACATTGATTGAGAAACAGGGGCGACACAGTGACTCAGTAGTTAACACTGTCGCTTCACAGCAAGAAGGCCGCTAGTTCGAGTCTCGGCTGGGTCAGTTATTATGTTTTCCCTGTGTTGGCGTGGGTTTCCTGCGGGTGCTCCGGTTTCCCCCATAGTCCAAAGACATGCACTATAGGTGAACTGAACAAACTAATTGGCCATAGTGTATGTATGTGAATGAGCGTGTATGGATGTTTCCCAGTACTGGGTTGCAACTGGAAGGGCATTCGCTGTGGAAAACATATGTAAGATATGTTGGCAGTTCATTCCACTGTGGTTACCCCAAATGAATAAAGGGACTAAGACGAAGAAAAATTAATGAATGATTGAGAGACTAAGTATGGAATTATTATACATAAATCTCTATATAGACAGCTGATTTTCAAACAATATGAGTGAGATGGTCAAAAAACATCTGGTATTCTCAGGTGCATGTGATATCCTCTCCTTGGCCAATGGCAGCAGGTGGATGGCAAAAAGAGAGCTATTGTGTGTGTGCCAGAACTGGTTTTGTCTGAGCTCCAGTGACTTTGCACTGCATGGCATGGAAAGATCTGCTTTCCAGCAGATGTGTCTTCATGCACTCAGACCTAGACCTGCCTCCTTTTGTTCAGTCATTGTTTTGTTTTATATTGTTTAGCTTTATATGCTTGTGTGAAATTATATCTATGTCTATGTCTATGTAGTAGAGCTACACAAATAATTGTCAAATAAGGGCTGCACCATATTGGAAAAATCTGACATTGCCATATTTAGTAAATTGCAAGTATATATAAATATGACAGAGCAAAAAAGTTTAATAAACAGTGCTTTATGGTTTTCTGTACAATCTAATAGTATTCAAATACAAACATTTAACTATCAAATGCAAAATAACATGGTTGTCATTGTATAAATAACTGTATACAATAATATCAAAGTAACATTTAATATTATCTTTATTTTTTATTATTTTATAATCAATTTAATCCAGCAATGTGACATTGCAGATACACACACTTAGATATCAATACTCAGGCGACATATTGTTCCGCCCTACATCAAATCATTGTAGTTTTGATTCAAACAACTATCCCATATTTATTCCTAAATGACAGCAACTCAATAGAATGAGACATGTCTAAGTAACTCAAATGTCCTTAATTATTAACTACTGGTTAGTAATATTAACACACATTACCATGTTAAACTATTTTTAATGATATGCTAATGTATGTTTGCACATAGGCTACTCATACAGAAAGTTTATGCTGTCTTCATGATTTTCAATTATGTACACTATCCTCTTAAGCCTGAAGACTTC